ATTGCTTTTAAAAATCCTCTCATTTTTTAAAATCTTTTTCTTTGTGAGAAGCTATTTTGTGCTCTTAACTGCCAAAACTACAATGAAGGGGTTCTGCAAAATTCTTGTTGAGACCCACTTCCCAAAATCAGTCAATGGTGCAGGCACATCACACAATCCTGTAAGGCATTAAGCAAGTGGATGGTGAGGAGAAAGAAAGGCAAGCAGTGAAACAGATGAGAGGAAATATTCCAGAATAGCCAGGCATGACATTGAGCCCACCCCGTGTGAACCTTAGTCTCTCAAGTCAGAGATTGAGGGAGCTTGTTGCTAAGTCATCTGTGAATGCTGGATCATCTCTATACAAATGAAGAAGAAACTTGGGGTGATAGAAATGTGGCTCTACAGAAGGATGCTGAGAATACCATGTACTGAACATGTGAGCAACGACAAAGTTTTAGAGAAAATAGAAACTTTTACTTAACATCAGAAAGAGTAGAAATTTTTAGGACACATAACAAGGAAAAAGGGATTGGAGATGAAGAGGATTCACACCCTTTCCCAAGGGTATCAGCACATGAAACTAGAACAGTCTACACCAGTGAGCGAAATAAAGGGTTCAGTTCAACATTCCAACCACCTGAAGAAGGCCGGAGCGTACAACGGCTGAAACATTGTAATAAATATGGCAACAAAGATGAGGACAATAGTCTGAATAATGTCAATTGGGTATTAGCACATAAATGAATGTAATGGATTCAACTGGAATTTTAACTTGGCTCTCCAATTCCTCAATCTGAGCTGCTATCCATTACTCCATTGTGCCTCCTTTGTTAATGTATATGTTATAAAAGAGAGAAATTTACTGTGTTGTATTACAAGTCATATAATAGAAGAAAGTTACATGTGTGTTGTCATCTTGATGGTTCTTGGCTGAAGAAATTAAATCTTACGTCTTTTGGTGGGATGTCTGTATTTCAGTCAGGAGCAGTTGTTGTTGCATGCTGGAAGTAATTTTATTAATCTTATTTATTTTAAACAAGGTATAAATATGGTTTTATTTTATTCTATTTATAATTTTCATTATTATTAATATTTTATATTTTATTTATTATAACGATACCCCTATAGCTTCTTTTCTTTGTTTCTAACAAAATTTTTGTTTTTTTTTCTTTGTATTTTTTTTTACAGTAAGGTTTTGAAACTTTTTAAAAAAATAATGAGAAAAGAAGGTCTAGAAAATTAGATACTCAGAGGATTTTTTTTGTAACATTAAGGTTAACCTTTTACAAGGCCCGGGGGCCACTTGAGGTAGAGGAGGCAATTTGTACAGAGAGGAGTGGAAGATAATGGCTAACCCTAGCCTTAAACCAATGAAGATTTTAGGGATCAGGGAAACATCCTTTTGGGTGTCTGTTCCACGGGACAGCAGTTCACAGAAAGAAGCTGTTCAAGTGCAACTTCTTTTCCACCAATGGAATAGGGTGGGAATGTGGGTGGTTTGCTACTGTGTAAATGGCATGGTGTTCCCTTGCCATGGAGGTTTGAATTGGCTGGACCAGGGAATGTAGTTCATCTGAGCACTTTCAATAGGGGTAGTGACAGAGCAGTGAGAGGCTTGCCAAATCCCACCTGTGGAAGAGAGGTTGAAGGGTGGAGAATACTTTGTAACCCACAAGGACTCAGAGGCACTTTTGAACTCTCTCAAGGTTGGAGAGTGAGGTCTGGGCATCTCCCACCTAAACTCCATTTTCAGCCTTATCTAGCTCTTGCAGTTTCTTAATACTCCGCTTAGCTTTTGGAAGGCATCTTTGGCTATCCCAATGCACCTTCATATTTTAGTGTCATACCCTCCATCCTCTGTTAAAACACTAACCAGATATTTAAATTCTTGTACTTGTTTGATTTTTATGTCTACAATTTGCATGTTGGGCTGTTCCTTTTGCTAACAACCATGCCTTCCTTAAATGCTTAATCCTTTCTTCTCACCATCCCAGTTATGACAATAAACTACATCTGCATCCAGGGTAAGACGATAAATTACATCCAACAGCAAGGCCTCTGATCAGGAGGTTTTGAGGAGTGTGGAACCACCTCTTAATTGTTGGTGTTCCCAGGTCCACCTTGGCATGGGGTGGTAGCACCTGTTAAGGTCCCCAGCTATGGGCAAATAGTTAACCCTGAAACTGAGGTAAAAAGCATTATAAAAGCATAAAAATAGGTTTTATTACCAGAAATAAATTTTTGAAGAAAAAAAAAATATTACCAGCAACACATGTTTTAAAATAATATTACCAGCTATACATTTTTGAGGAAAAAAATATTACCAGAAATAGATTCTTGACAAAACAATTTATTACCAGGAAAAAAAAAGTTGTCGGCATTAAATAACCCAATGAGGTTGATATACCGTAAAACACAACAAACCAACATTTCTTCTCACTATCCTTCACTAACCTTCTGTAGGAATTCTTGTAATTTCCTTTCTGTATCTGCTATCAACACTGTGTCACCTGCATATCTTATATAATTAAGATTGTGGCCACTAATAATGGATACTGATAGGACTTCTAATTCTTGCAGAATTGCCTCACTTTATAGTTTGAACAAGTCCAGTGAGAAGACACATGCTTGTCTTAAACCCCTTTCTATTTTTGTATATCTACTGAATTCATTTTCTATCCATATGCAAGTGTTTTTGTAGCCAGTATATGTTCTGGATTATTCTAATATCCTTCCCAGATATATCAAGGTTAACGAGCAGTTGCAACAGTTCTTTATGACGTAATTTATCAAATGCTTTTGTATAATCTCTGAAACACAGGTACACATCCTTCTGCATTTGTATTGCTCTTTCTGATATCACTCTGAGCATAAATATTGCATTCCTAGTTCCAGTGTCTTTGACAAACCTGCACTGATATTGTCCTATTTCTGGTCTGATTCTGCGGCATGCTCTATTCATCAGAATTTACTATAGTAAGAAAGGAGGAAAACATTTAATGACTAGATTTGCAATCTTGAAACTTTTGTGTTCATTTTGGTATCTTTTGTGTGTTGTTTCCAATAAATCTGTTGTAATTAAAGAACAGGCATTATTTTTTGATAGACCCTATAATGTTCACAGCATCTTTTCCTACATTTATTGTGGTTAGCAAATAGGCCGAGTGAAATATGAAAAGAACTAAATTCTTTTTGTTCCTGTGTATGTATATTATACTTAATTTGTATCTTCTAGTATCTAATAAATGAAGTGACAGAAAATTATTATTATATTTCAAGCATTATTATTTTATATTCCTGTTTAGGATTGGATTTCTGGTTCCTTCTAAAGTCTATACCAACTATATACTTCTGTATCAGTCTATATCTCTAAGATGAGGTTGAGGTATTATGATTACTTGTATTATTTACATTATTTGGACTCAAGGGCACATGGTCCAGTGGATAAAAATGTTGGTTAGATCCAGTGACTAGACCAAAAGAGTTAGGAGTTCAATACCAGGCCACAGCAGTGATGAACCAAAAATTGGAGTGTTGAGTTAAAGGGAAATAACTAAGACATCCAGAAGAGGCATGGCACGTGGAACTAGAACAATCTGCCCCAGTGGATAAAATAAAGTGTTCGGTTTGAAATTCCAATCACCTGAAGAAGGCTGGAGCATACAATAGCTGAAACATTGCGGATATGGCAATGAAAATGAGGATAATGTAAATAATACAAGTACTTCTGATGTTTCTGTCAAAACTTTGAAGTTTTATTTATTATTCATGTTATTTTTTTTTCCACAATAGGAGTAGATAGATTAGGCTATTGTCAAGTTCACACCCTTCTCTGGTCTTTTGAACAGGAGTAGAGGTTTATCCCTTGTTACCAGTTTAGAATTTAGTTTCTGATTCCTTCTAAAGTTTTCTCATTCTCTTTCATTCCCAGTAGCCCCATGTGTTTTAGTGGCATTATCACGCTTAGGGTGAATAATTATAAAGAAAAAAAAAAAAGTAAAAAGTAGACAAAAACTTTTTTTTTTAATAAAAATGCTCATTTCATGATTTTCATTGTTTTTGCATACAATTTGAACATAGATCTGCTAAATATGAAATGTTTTCATTTTCTTTAATATAATTGTTTTACTATTTTTTCAACTACTACATGGTAGTATTATATATGTGTGTGTGTGTATATATATATATATATATATATATATATATATATATAGATAGATAGATAGATAGATAGATAGATAGATAGATAGATACATTTTTTTTTGTTGGATTGATGTGAGTTAGTAACCCTGGGTTTCATGCTCTTTGCAATTATCAAACAAATGAAGTTTGTCTGATGATTACTGAGAGCATAAAACCCAGGGTCACAAACTCATCATCAATGCAACTAAATATGTTAGCTCTATCACTGATATTGAGCTCTTTCCAATAAGTATCGCACATATATAATATATAAATAATATACATAAAAATTGAATTGCATATATATATATATATATATATATATAATGCATGTGCATATGTATGTATATATAAAAAAAATGCATGTGCGTGTGTGTGTGTGTGTATATATATATATATATATATATATAAAATAAATATATATATAAAAATGTGTGTGTGTGATATGTATATACACACATGCATTTTTATATATATATATATATATATATATATATATATATACACACATATATATAAATACACACACACACACACACACACATAAATACATACATTTATATATATATATATATATATATATACACACACACACACATATATACATAAGTATGTATATATTACAATATGCTTTGAGGGTGAAAAGAAGAGAGAACGTAATTGAAATCTAAGAACAATCACACCTCACCACCTAAAGAAAAAAAAATTCTCATTTATGTACAAAACGAAAAGTGTAGGGACGGAAAGAGCAGATGTCAAAGGTCAGAGATAAAAAACAAAGAAGTAAAAGTAAAACAGTGACTAACAACAGAGGGGTTGAGAATTTTGCATTTTACAACAAATATGGTAGTAGGCAATGTTGCAGTGTAGAAGCAGGAGGGGGTCGAGGGCAGGGCGGTTTGTGGAACTGATGAGGAATGAATGGTGGCGGAGACGGCAATGGTTGCAGTCTTGGTAGGGAGAGAGAGAGAAAGAGAGAAAGAGAAGCAGGGAGCACCGGTGACAATGGTGTTGATGGAAAGAAACCGATAGGGAACTTAATATATTTTCAAACGCTTTCATACCATATAGCTAAAAATAAGTTTAAACATGAAAAACACTTCATAGTTTTAGTAGTGGTGTAGCAATAAAGAGAAATAAAATGTTGACACTGGAGAATTTTTTTTCTATATGGGAATAAAAAAGGGTTTGATCTTGGTAGATGGATTTTGTTGGTAAATCAAATAAAAATGAATGCTCTTTCTCAAATCATTATTTTTTTTTAAAAATCATGTTTAGGTTTTTGTGGTATATTTAATTAATTAATTACTATATTCCATTTGTAGTACGTTTGTTGTACTTTGAGATTAAAAATAATAAACCCAAGGAAGGCTGAATTGTTGTGGAAGGGAAGGAGAACAAAAAATAAATAATGAAATAAATTAGTAAATTATTTCGAAATTAACCAAGATTTTTTAAAACAACACCTACTGACTATAAAATCGAATTGTTGTTAATTCACTCTTTCTTTCGCCGTCATTTCTTTTTAAGCATATCTTCATGATCGATAAGTTAATAAACGTTATTTGTGTTGGTCGATGTATTTTGTATTTCAAGTACTTGATTTGCTATGTTTTTATTTCTTTATCTTGTTTTAGTTTTTACGAATTTATTTTTATATTTTTAAGGGAAGATAATCCGACCAGTGTTCATAATTCATTTCACAATGTCCAAAGCAATTATTTTCCAGCCTCAAGGACGAACACCAATCTTTAAGTTGCAAAAAGCAAAATTTTGAGAAAAAGTAAAATGACATGAAATTAAAAAAAAAAAAAAAAATAACCTTCAGTCTGCAGGACGCAGTGTAGAATTTCCAGACTTATTTCGTGAGGAAAAACAAAAAGTCTTCGACGCCGGGGAATACGACGGTATTTATTTCCCTGCTGATCACCTACCTGGAAGCACGTTGTTTCTTCAGGTTACACTCGTTGGATCTTTCAGAAATGTCGCTGTCGTATGTGTTCGTTAGACCTCTTTAAAAAAAACTCATCATTATTTTCGGCATTGTGAAAAAACTTAGTTGTTTCAATAAGTTAAATTATAAATTAGGTTTTTAAAATCTGTAGAGAGAGATGTTAGTTAAAAAAACGAAGTGACACAACTGATTTCAAAGTGAACGATCTAAAAATTATATTGTGAGGCTATTTTATTGTTCCTGAAAAGTGAAAACTGTATAATTTTGTTCTTAGTACAAACATCATCATCACTTATTACTTTTTAAATTAGAGTGCAGCTTGGATTATATTATGACTATATTTGAATTGTGATGGTAAGCTTAGAAAATAATTGAGATTATTTTTTTAGTTATAACATTTTTTTTATGGTTACTTTTTTTTAGCTGTAGTTAGAAGCGGAAAATGAAAATAGTGTTTAAATTATTCTATAGTAAAATTAATAGTATTATTTTAATTAATTTTTGAAAAAAGTGATAAAATAATGTCTTCATTTGGAGAGTTGAGGAGAATATTAAAGTTGGACAATACAATATGGACAAAATATCAGTTTTTAAGTATAGTTTAGATGTGGCACAAGGCTGAAAGTATGGAGCACCCAGTGAGGATCAAACTACTACTTAGTTGTAACTGATCTACTGAGACAAGCAGATTAACCACTACACCATGGCAAAATGACCAAATCATATATATATATGTCATCCACATAGAAGCCTGTTTTGATGTATCACAGCTCATCAGTGTGGCTAATTTCTAAAAAATTTACTGTGTCCCCAACTAAATAATTTATATATATATATATATATTATAAATTAATTGATTTATTAATTTATAATATTAATGCTCTGTAAATTTACATTGAGCACTATTTTGTAATAATAAAAAAATAACTATAAGAACACTGGATTATATATCTTACTGTTCTTTCTTATATATATATATATATATATATATATATATATATATATATATGTATGTATGTGTGTGTGCTTGATGTGGCATAAAGACAAAAGTCTTGACCACCCACTGAAAATCCAACTGACTAATCAGTTATAATTGAATTATCAAAACAATCTTTTCTAACCATTACACTATGTTGGTCAATATATATATATATATATATATATATATATATATATATATGAATAAAAAGACATGAGGAAAAGCTATTCTTAGCTGATGTGTTTCGTCCTCTAAGGGGCTTTAGCAAGGCAATTGTTTTTCCTCTTAAATTTTTATTCCTTTACTTAAACATTCTACCTGAAAAATATATATATATATATATATATATATATATATTATTTAGTTGATATGGAGCCACAATAATGTTTGGGAAAATATATATATATATATATATATATGTACACACACACACATGTGCACATGAATAAAGACAGAAGGAAAACTTTTCTTTAGTGGCGTGTTTTATCCTCTGATGGATTTTTTCAAAGCAAAGATCAGAATTTTGAGAAAGTCCATCAGAGGTGTCAGAGGATGAAGCGTGTCAGTAAAGAAAGGTTTTCTTTTTCTTTATTCACTTTATATTTACAGATATATTTTTAGTTATATCTGAAATTTTATATATATATATATATATATATATATATATATATATATATATATGACATGAATAAACGGTTTTAATTTTATTATATATATATATATATATATATATATATATATATAATAAAATTAAAACCATTTATTCATGTTATATAAATACTCAGAGTTTTATGAATTTTTTCTCCCCCCACCCACTCAATCCTTTGCAGATTTTTCAGTGACCTAAGTTTATTTACACATCTTATTTTCTTTACTCTTTAATTATATATATATATATATTTCTTAAAAAAGAATCCCTGACTATTTTCATGTTATATTTGTTCATAATGAGTTTTGTTTCTTACAGTAATATATCTTTATCATTGCTATGATCAGCATCTTATTGTTGCACTTAAAGTTATTGGTAAGAGAAATGATAGTGTAGATTTTAGTCATTATTGCTTAATATACAAATAATAATGAATAATACTGATATTGATGATTGTGATAGTAATGATTAACTGTATTAGTGAATGTCATATCACTGCAGACACTACTATCTTAATTATTATAGGTGACATTGTTATTTGTCAGTAATTTCAATAACAGTTGTTAATGCAGTAATAATTACACTCACCTAATAATTTTGTTATTCACATCATCATTTCATCATGTTTTCGGTCATTCTTAACATGGTCGTTTTTTAGTCATTAATCCCAAGGCAATAAAGCCACTAAGACACAAGGTGATAGAGAATATGATAAAATCATACTATTAAGGAAAGAAGACAATAAAAGAACAGTAATTAAGAAGACAGAAGATTGACATTGCATTTAAATTTTTGAAAATCAAAGTTGACTGGAAAGCAAGAAGCCGGAAGAGAGTTCCAAAAGCAATAAGTAAAATAGAAGGAACTGTTAGCATAGAAATTACAGTTACATCTCACCATTTCAACTGTAAAATGATGAGACCTTGCTACCAATCTAGTACTGAGCTTAAATTCATCAAGTCGAGGAACCATAAAGTAAAATTCATCAGAACAATTACCATGAAAATGTTTATAGAAAAGCTACAAGGAAGCTACTTTATAACAGTGGAAAAGTGACAGGTCAAGATCAATAACATTGCAGATTTTCCTTTGGATTTTATTAATCTCTAAATACATAGCAGGAGCACCAAACCATACATGGTAGTAATATTCAAAGCAAGAATGAATGGTAAACTTATATATATGTAAGGTAGGCAATTTTTCTTACTAGAATCTAAATTGACAGAGTAAACCAGCTTTCCTCAATGCAGACTTTGCTATTGATTCAATATAATTTTTCCATTTTATGTCAGTGGAAAATGTTAGTCTGAGAAGGCACAATGATTCACTCTCTTAGAGGTTAGCATCAGCCATGCTGATGAAAGGTAAAAAGAGTTTCCTCAGACAATTAAAAGAGTGCACTATCATTTTGGTGGTGTTAAAATTAACAAACCACTCCTTGTCCCATTTAACAACAGATTGTAAGGTCAATTGTAGTTAAAAAGGAAAAAGTATTTTTTTTAATTACAAATATATAATTTTGCTGCATTCAGTAATTTTGGTTAAGAATGAATCACAGTAATATTAGTATTTAGTATTACAATTATCATTATCATTCTATGCCAAGTGGCTTTTACTTAAAAAAAAAAAAAAATGTAACCAAAACAAAAACAAACAGTACTTTCACCCCTAAAATGTCCATTCAAGATGTTTGTGATCATTCCTCTCTACAGCTTTCATTTCTTTAATTTACACACACCTTTTTTTTTTTTTGTGTGTGTGGGGGAAGCACAGTGTTTTTTTTTTTCTTTTACATTGCATTCACCTACATTGGTTGTCTTACCAAGGCTAGACAGTCCAATCCGCTCTGCTATTTTATCACAAGCTGGATGGAGCTTTTCCATAAATATTAGTGCAAAGCAAACACTAGCCACAGTTAGAATTTGAACTCAATGGGCTGATTTCATTTTCATCACTGATAATCATTATATCATCGAGAATGAAAATATTTTTTTGATAATTATTTCACCCCAAGCAAGCCAATAAAGCCACTTAAATGCAAGGGGTTACTGAGAGTGAAAGAATCAGAAAATTCATTATTAAGGAGGTTAAGTCAATAAAAGAACAGGATTCAAGTAGATGGAAGATGACTTCTTTGAAGATCAAACTTGACTGGAAAGCAAGAAGCTGACAGAAAGTTCCACAAACGAGAAGTTTGAGAGAATGATGAGACCTACTTGCCAATCTAGTATTGTGCTTAAATTCATAAAGTCAAGATACCAAAAAAAAAATATAATATTTATAGAAAAGGCACAGGGAAGCTATGTTACAATGGTGGAAAACTGACTGATGCCAAGATGACCAATAACATTGCAGATTCTTCTTTGGATTTTGTCAAGAATCTCTAGATATAGAGCTGAAGTACTAAACCAGAAGTGACCGTAATATTCAATGTGTGGATGAATGGTGTGTGTGTGTGTATATATATGTTTTCTGTTCAC